ATATATGCTTAAGATCGTTTCCAGAGTTTAGTTTTTAGGGTTTTTTTTTTTCAGAATATCAGTATATTTATTTTGTATAATATTATACTTACAAGCAGAGCCTCACGTTAAGAATATAAAGACCAAGTGGAATTTCTGTCAATTCATTTCTATCTAAATACCTGTAGATCAGATTACAGTACTTCAGTGAAAACGCAACAATATATAGAAATATAAAGAAATATTAAATACACATTTGGATAACATTTTTTAAGGTCTATAATACAGACAACGAGCAGTCAGACATTCATTCTTCTCCATCAGAAACATACTAACAAAACACAGACGTGTGTACTGTATATACAAAACAAATAGAATAATATTTGTATGTACTGTATTCGAACTGTACTTACAAATTCCATACACTTCCCACTTCAGCAAATGCCTCAGGGTCTATGTGCTGCAATCCATTGAATGATATATCTCTATATAAAAAAATAATAAGTTAATAAAATTTACTTTAAAAAGATTTCTAATATTATTATTAATTAGCAGCAGCAGCAGCAGCAGTAGTAGTAGTGGTGGTGGTAGTAGTAGTGGTGGTGGTAGTAGTAGTAGTAGTAGCAATAGCAGTAGTAGTATTATCACTAGTATTATAAATTATATTATTCGAAATAATAATGTTCTGCCCAACCTGATAAGTTAAGGGTTTTTGGTTTGTTTTTTATTAGTTTTTTTTTTTCTACACAGATTTAAAAAGAAAATCTTGCAAGTGATTCGAGTTGGAACCGAAACCACGTCATATATCTTATTTTGTAGAACACCAAACTTGCTCTTTCTACTTAAGAAAACTCTTCAATTATGTCGGTACTTCAATGTTATTTCAAAAGAAGCAGAACATCATTACTATCGAATTTCCGATGTAACCCCATGTAAAATATTGTTTTTTACTTTTCATATCTTTATTCATATTATTAATCATAATAATATTCATATTATTATTCATAGGCCTATTAGTTTTAAACAATTACGACACTATACACGATGCACATGTTATTGCTAGACTAAAACAAAATATGTGATTCGGTTATCAGGAAATGTGTGGTGTTGTATTTTGTATGACATTTGTACAGATTTAAGATACTTAATATGACACATGACCCCTCATGCACCTCCATTTACCCTTTCAGCCATCTTTAACTGTCAGATGACATCATAGTGCATATGCCCCCAAGGGAGCATGGACACAATTAAGTATTAAAAAAAACATATATAAAAACGACAGGGTCTAGTGCCATCATTGGTGTGGAGATTGGACATTTTATTTATAAGAGAATAGTCACACGTGGTACTATATGACTCCAACAGAATATTGGCCCTAAACCTTGCTGTGCCATCCCAATGCAGAATGTCAATGACGATTTTGACAATGACATTTTTTAAATATTGAAGTAAAAAACAAAGTAAAAATGTATTGATCCTTTAACAAAGGAAATCGAATGCTCCTTTTAAAAGACAATGTAAAATTTCATAAAACTACTCATACTAATATAAAAATTATAATACTAACGTTTAAAATTTAAAGTATAAAGTTTTCCCGGCAGAAATAAATGAACAGGAATGACGATTGTTGATTATTGAAAATTATACCATTACCACTAGATTACGGTAATTAAAATCATTTTATCGAAGAATTCTCACTTATGTGAATATCTATTAGGCCTACCTCATCATTATGACCAGAGGCAGGAAAGCACATATCCTAGCATCCATAAAAACAAACATTCCAGTGGAGGGCCCCTGGGTTCCTCCAAAGTAGGCCTACTCTACTACAACTTCAAGTCTGTTTTTTTCTATTTGCAAAGACCTGTTCCTTGCAACCGACTATAGTACCTTTTTTAATTCTCTGTGAAGTGTATGCCTGAAAATTGTTGGAATGAACTGTATAAATTACTCTAAGAAGAGCGTTCTGCAGCAGCTATATGAAGTTATGCTATGAAACAATTGTTATTAAAGATTCGTGATAAAAAAAATAAAAAAAAAAGCTTAAGGAATTTGTTGAACCTTCATTTTTGACTATCCATAATGGTGATGTGATGATGAAGGATTTTGCTATATATATAGGAATGTCACTTCCAGCCATCTCGAGGTTCTATTTCTGAACATTTTCACACCTCACCATGGTATTGCTCCGATGGGTGTGAACCCACGAATGCCCCCACCCTTCTCCACCTTAAAAAAATCTTCGCTCTTTGGTCTCATTTATGATGGGGTTATTTTGATGTCATTAGTCCTTTAATCACTCACAAAACTATTCCACCGCTTATGTCATCATCATCATAATAATTACAATCGTTATTAACTCCTGAGAATGCAGGAAAGTGCATCCCAGAGTCCGAAGACACACTTATCTGTTGACAATCTCATTGCTTGATATTTGCATATGATAAATGAAATTATAATAGAGCCCCTATTAAGGGTACACCTTCTAGACCAAACAATGTGTCCTCTTAATAGGGATGTCCCTGAATAAGGTACCCTTATTAAAGGGGTGGGGACATTAACCAAAAATGTGAAATTGACCCTTTAATATGGGTTTTAGCATGTAGTCATATAATGAGGACATATTCTTTTATTTCAGTTGATCTCTAAATTAAACTAAATTTATTTAAACAAGTTAAGCAAAAATAACACCTTTATGATGAATTAGGCCTAATAAATTAATTACAATAAAAGTTGTATATTGTTCTAGATTCCAGTGCTATGATAGATATAACAGAATGAAGAAAGTAATGACTTAGAAATCAGTGAGAGGGTTACAGTATAGATTTAAGTGGCGGAATCAGGGAGCGGGGCAGCCGGCCTAGGCCCCTCTTTTATTTATTTATTTTTTAAATGGAGAGAAAAAAAGAAAATTGTATTCACATTTAAGCCCGAGAGTGGCATTTCTAGGCATCTAGAGTGCCATAATCCTAAATGTTCTTATCTCGGCCCCAACCTGGCGTGACTGAGATGGGCATCCAGGTAAACAAAGTATCCACAGTATGACCTTTGGGCCCCCACCCATGTAAAACCAGCCACATTCAACAACATTGTGCCCCTCCACTCTTTCGCAAAAAAGCTGGATAACCCCTGAATGTTAGTGCTCTATATTAGGTATGTCTTTATCACCTGTTATATCTGTACATGCAGGTATCTACATGGTCTCTTTGAGATCAATTTATTGACTAAAATTAGAGTGTAATCGCTGTAAGGTCTACCAGAAGGAAACACAGGATTTCATTAAAATATTTTAACAATTCAAGTGATAGTACAACTCATCTAGAACCTATAAATACTTTATTATGCTTCAGGCTGAATTTGGCAAGTGTAATTCAAATTGTACCAGCAGTATGTTTTTAGAAACTCTACGTTAATAGTGTAGGCATAGGAGGCCTACTGTATTTCCAAAGATAATTCATAGCATATTGTATCAAGTGTATTCACATGTTTTATTTAAATGCATATTGTTTATATTTCACAATACCTGTCTCTTATACACATCTAGATGTGTATAAGAGACAGATCTTAGACGATTTTTAAGCTAAGATTTTGCTAAGA